GGGGGAGGCGGGCTCCGCCGGCACACGCCGCCCCTGGCAGGCGGCCTGAGCGCGTGCGAAGAGCCGCCGCCGCCGCCGCTCGGGGTCGCCTTGAGCCCCAGATTCCCCAGCGCTGGTTCGCATGGCAGCCGCCTGGGCGCCCGGCCCCGCGACCCGCTAGGGGCGGCCCAGCGCCCCGGCCCAGCCCTTCAGCTGAGTCCGTCGGATCCGGCCTCGCTCTGCGCCCCGGGGGGCGCCGCCTCCCAGCCCGAGGTGAAGACCGCGAGGGCAGGGGCGCGCTGGGGTGCCCAGGCCCCGCGCCGCGGCCGAGCCGAGTGCCGTGGAGGTAGGAAGGGGATGCGGGAGCAAGTCCTGCGGGGAGTCGGAGGTGGGGGGCAGAGACTGCTCGCTGCCGGGAACCAGCCCCCTAGTCGCCCCCGTGCTCGAGGACGCCCCTCGGCGCTGTTCCCTGTCCCCCTCCGTCCGACTGCGTTCCCCGGCCCTTCCAGTGTCCTGACCTCGCTCTGCGCTGCCCATCTTTCAACTCCTTCCTACAGAGCCCGCTCCCAGTTCCTGTCTCCAATCCCCTCGTCTGCTCAGATCTTCCCAGCCCCCGCCCTCCGCTGCCCCCACCGCTTTTTTCTGTCTGGATGCCCCTCTCCCCTCTCGGCTCGTTATCACTCGGAACCGGAATCTGTGCCGCTATCTCCGCGTCCGGCCGCCTCCCAGCCTGTGCCGTCCCACAAGTGTCCGCACGTCCGGCGGTCCGTCTGTCCCTCCCGGGGCCGGGGCTGACCATGCCCAGCGGCTGCCGCTGCCTACATCTCGTGTGCCTGTTGTGCATCCTGGGGGCACCCGTAAAGCCTGCCCGAGGTGAGCGCTCCCCTGGGCTCAGGTCGCGGCCCTGTCCGGCTGTCCCTCGCTTGCACGTTGACCTCTGCCGGCCAGAGATGGCACTGCAGGCGCTCCGACCCGCGGGGTTGGCGACACCCAGGACATCCCTTTGGAATGGGATGAGTCTCTGTTCTGCCCTGTCCCAGAGCTGAGTCCACCCAATTACTGGGACCCTGCATCCTCTCCCTAGCCCCGCATCTCAGGCAGCTGAGCGCTGGCCCCGGGCTCACCCCTCTCACATCAATCTCTTTCAGCCGATGACTGCAGCTCTCACTGTGACCTGGCCCATGGCTGCTGTGCGCCTGATGGCTCCTGCAGGTACCTCTCCGAGCACGTGCTCCTAAACGCTGTGCTCCACATTTCCCGGGCCTCCACACCCACAACCAGCTCAAGCCCCAGAGCAAAATGTCTAGGGGCTTAAGACTCTACTGCTCTCTCCCCACCGCCTCGTGCACATGGCACACAGGGCAGAAGGCCAGCCCTTCATCCTGTGCTTACTCCTCCCCATTTCCCCTTCGCCTTGCCTCTCCTTTGCTGCTTCTAGCTTATGGCTCCCAACTTCACTCTCCCAACCAGGTATTCTGCAACATTCCTCTTCAAGGTACCAGGAGAAAGACCCGAAACTTGAGGGAGTGTGGGGAGTGGGAGCCATAAGGAAAAGGGGAGATAAAGGAAAGACATAAATAGAATTGGCTTAGCCTGGAAAACAAAGGCTGTTGCAAGGGTTGCTGGGGAGAAGCGCTTAAGAGTCTTTTCTGATGAATTTGAGTAATTGACTCAGTGGGGTGGGGTTGGGCAAATTCTGCAGCAGGAGGAAAAGTGTGTCTGGTCATAAGGAAATGAGCTGACAGGGCAAGGTCCTGGAGGGGCTGAGGGTGCTTGGGACTCTCCGAAATAGAGCAGGCCTTTGCCCTGGAATCAGGGTAGGAAGATAGTCCTGATGACCTTTCAAGGTCACTTTTTAAAAAAATGTTTCTAAGCACCTCAGACATGCCAGGAGTGGTGCTGGGGGCACTTACAGACATCATCGTAATTTCCTCCTCAACACATGCCTGCCAGGTGTATCCTCAGTTTACAGATGAAAAAACTGAGGCTCAGAAAGGTTAGACCAAGTGCAGAAACAGGACTTGAATGCTGGTGTCTGATGGTCTGATGATACCATATATGTGTCCCATGACCCTGCACAGCCCTATATCAACCTGGGATAGGCCTGCTTTCACTTGGGGGCTGTCATATTTGTCTGTTTCCTAGAAGCTCTGATCTTGCCTCCTCCATTTCTTCACATCCTTCTACCCAGAGCCCTGACCCTGTGCTTCTCCCCATCAGGTGTGACCCAGGCTGGGAGGGGCTGCACTGTGAGCGCTGTGTGAGGATGCCTGGCTGCCAGCATGGTACCTGCCACCAGCCCTGGCAGTGCATCTGTCACAGTGGCTGGGCAGGCAAGTTCTGTGACAAAGGTAGGGGAGTAGAGAGGGTAGCTGTTGTCTGGGGACCCCCATGTGTCTTGGGAGAACATCCATCCGTATTTATTGAGCGCCTCTTGTGTCTGGCTCAAACCCGAAAATATATGGTAGCTTACTATTTTAGACTTTATACCTATCTGTTGTCTGAACTGGTCCTAAACACAACCCTATGTGGTAGGCAAGACACCTGCGGAAAACTGTACTCATATCACAGATGAGGAAACTGAGATCTACAGACAAGATACAACTTGCCCAAAGGCACTTTGGGACAGACTAACAGGGCCAGGGCTGAGTGCCTCCCGACTCCAAATTCAGTGTTGTTTTCCCCCCACTACACTGTACCAGCCCCGGCTGGGATTGTAGTATGAACCACACCCACAGAACTTTGGGTGGGGCCTGGGCAGGTCTGGGTGCCAGACATGAGGGGCTAACCCCGAGCCCTCCTGGTCTCCTCTCCAGATGAGCACATCTGTACCACACAGTCCCCCTGCCGGAACGGAGGCCAGTGCGTATATGACGGGGGCGGCAAGTACCACTGTGTGTGCCCACCGGGTTTCCACGGGCGTGACTGTGAGCGCAAGGCCGGACCCTGTGAGCAGGCAGGGTGAGTGCTGGCCCCAGGTTAGATGAGGATCTGGTGATGGAGGAGAGAGGACTGTTGAGAGGATGGTGGGGCAGTGTTAGGGCTGACGGTCAGAAGTCCCACACGGAGGTACTCGAAGATAAAACCCAGTCTGTCAGAGTATCTGTAGGGTTTCTCAACTTTTTTGGTACCATGTGAACCATTTCTCCAACAACAAAAATCTACAGGGGCTGGAGGTGTAACACATCAATGTGTGACTCCCCTGGGTGGGGAGGCTGAGGGCCTAGGACTCCCCTCATCCTCCCAGGAAGGGTGGCATGCAGCCCCTAAAGTTGTTCCACACAGCAGCCTTATGCCTCATGGTGAATGGGGAAATGGCCTACAGGTCTGGACTCTTCCTCATTTCCACGTCAAGCCTGAGAGCCTGCGTGGATAATAACTGTACACTTGCCTTGAGCCTTGCTTTGGGGTCAGGCCCTCTGCTACTTGCTTGACCCTGGATTATCTCATCTAACCCTTACCATTTGGGAAGCTGGGTACTGCTCTTATCCCATTTTTATTTTTTTTTAAACTTATTTATTTTAAAATTTCTTCTAACACTTTTGTTTATTTATTTGTTGGCCGTGCTGTGCAGCTTGTGGGATCTTAGTTCCTCAACCAGGGATCGAACGCAGGCCCTTGGCAGTGAAAGCACAGAGTCCTAACCACTGGATCACCAGGGAATTCCTCTAATCCTATTTTTAAAATGAGGCATTTGAGGCTCACAGAAAAGTGACTCAAGGTGACATAGCTAGAAGGGGGGTGGTAGTGGTGGCAGTGATCAGGATGTCAACCTGGGCTACCCTGCAGATGGCAGTCGGTAAAATGCCCTCCTGCCCCCCCAACTCAGCTCCCCGTGCCGGAATGGCGGGCAGTGCCAGGACGACCAGGGCTTCGCCCTCAACTTCACATGCCGCTGCTTGGCGGGCTTTGTGGGTGCCCGCTGCGAGGTGAACGTGGACGACTGTCTGATGCGGCCTTGTGCTAACGGCGCCACCTGCCAGGACGGCATCAACCGCTTCTCCTGCCTCTGCCCTGAGGGCTTTGCTGGGCGCTTCTGCACCATCAACCTGGATGACTGTGCCAGCCACCCATGCCAGAGAGGGGCCCGCTGTCGGGACCGGGTCCACGACTTTGACTGTCTCTGCCCAAGTGGCTATGGTGGCAAGACTTGTGAGCTAGTCTTACCCGTCCCAGATCCCGCCACCATAGCGGACATCCCCCCGGGGCCCACCTTGGCTGTGGTGGTACCTGCCACAGGGCCTGTTCCCCACAGCGGGGGCGCCGGTCTGCTGCGCATCTCCGTGAAGGAGGTAGTGCGGAGGCAAGAGGCCAGGCTGGGCGAGTCGAGCCTGGTGGCCGTGGTGCTGTTTGGGGCTGTCACTGCCGCTCTGGTCCTGTCCACGGTGTTGCTGACCCTGAGGGCCTGGCGCCGGGGTGTCTGCCCCCCTGGACCCTGTTGCTACCCTGCCCCACACTATGCCCCGGCGCGCCAGGACCAGGAGTGTCAGGTTAGCATGCTGTCGGCAGGGCTCCCCCTGCCGCCTGACTTGCCCCCTGAGCCTGGGAAGACCACAGCACTGTGATGGAGGTGGGGGCTTTCCTGCCCCCTCCTTCGCCTCCTCTGCTGCTCAGAATGGACTGGCCCTTTCTCACCACCCCTCAGCTGGGATACCCAACACTGAGGGACCTCAGCCTCATGCCAGAAATATTATTTTTTTAATACAGAGTGTAAGATGGAACTTTATCAAATAAAACTATGGAAGTGCATGTGGGCTCCTTTGTCAGAAAAAATCCGCCTGGAGTCCCAGATGCAAGAGGGCCAGAGCAGAGGCCCGCTTCTGGGGAAGCCGCGGGACTCTGCCCCCCGAGAAGGAGTGGTTTGTAAAGAGGATCCCAGGGTACCTCTTCCCCTCTGCAGAGGTGAGAGAGAGGTAGAACCACAGAAGGGTGTAAACAAGCGGCAGGCCCCCCTGTGCCAGGCAGCAGTGGGTAGGACAGAGGGAGGCCCTGAGGGGCGGGGACTCGGGGCCCTCAGGGAGAGGAGCGGGCTCCCTGCTGGCTGCTCTGCAGCAGCTGCTGGAACAGCGAGTGGGGCTGGCTGCGCAGGACGGCAGGGGAGTCCAGCTCCGCCACCCTCCCGGCTTGCAGCACCAGCACCCGGTCCGAGTTCAGGATCGTGCTGAGCCTGCGTGGGAGAGGGTGGTCAGCGTGGGGATGGAGGACAACGCCCTAGAGAAAGTTGACCTGCTTTCCCCCCTCTTCTCTGGACAGCACCAGCCTGCCCCACAGGCTTCAGCCCCTGGCTCTGTGCTAGGGGAGGGGTTGCAGGCTCCCTCAGACAATGCGCTACAAAGGGCCTGGGTTGGTGCCTGGGGAACACGGAGCTGAGATTCATGGGGGTTGGAATCTCTAGAGCCCTGACCCCTGGGGTTTCTGAAAGGAAGGGAGGCTATGGGTCCATGACACCTTAGCCCCTGATTAGATTCTCACTCTGGATGCCTACACACCTGTGGGCGATGGTCAGCACTGTCTTGCTGGCAAAGCGTTTACAGATGGTCTGCTGGAGCAGCTGGTCTGTCTTCTGGTCCACGCTTGCTGTGGCCTCGTCGATACACAAGATCTGGACCATGTGGAGAGGATGAGCGGGGAGGAGGGAGAAGAGGTCAGCCGTGGCTGCTACATAAGCCCCGGCCCCCACCTCCTGGTCTGGCGCAGGCCAGCCCACAGCTCCCCACCTCCAGCTCTAAAAGAAAAACTAACTAGGTCCCTTGAGACCTCTCCCCAGTCCACTTCCTCACCCCCCACCCCTCACATGTCCCCTGCCTTCTTCCTGGCCCTCTCGAATGTCCCTTTCTCTTGTCTTACCTTGGCATCTGTGAGGAGAGCCCTGGCCAGACACAGCAGCTGCCTCTGCCCCAGAGATAAGCTCCGGCCCCCCTCACCCAGCTCACCATCCAGACCACCTGCAAAGCACAGCATCTTCACCCCTGGGTTCTGAGCCTCCCTCAACCCCCTCCCTGCTCACTCCTGCCACCATGCGGGATAGGACCTAGAACTCACCCATAGATACGATCACCTCACTCAGGTGGCACTGCTCCAGGGCCTGCCACAGGGCCCTGTCCTCGTACAGACCCCGGGGGTCCAGGTTTTCCCGAACAGTTCCACTGAACAAAAAGGGCTCCTGGGGGATGATTGCCAGCTGGGACCTGGGGGATGAGGACGGGACAGGACACGGGGTTCTTGGCTGGAGATGTGGCCACTTCTGCTCCCAGCACAGGTTTTAGCTATAGGTCCAGCCCTTCAGAAAAGCTTGGGGATAAGACCTGAACATAACCCCCGTCCTGTTCCCCGCTTGGTCAGCCAGCTTGACTGTGCCAGTGCTATGAGGAATACCAAAGGAACCAAAGGCCTAGACTCTGCCCTTAAGGAGGTTACATCTCACTGAGGGGCAAAACAGAACAAGCATGAGCTAAACCGTATGGTACTGACTCCAATCACGGGACAGCAGTGGATGGCAAAGAATGACCAGAGGGGACCAAGGAATGACTGGGTAGGGGATGCTTCAAGGTTGGAAGCGGGCCTGAAACTGGGTCCTGAGAGGCCATATGGTCAACCTATGGCCACCACAGGTTAGAAGAGAAGGCAGGAAGGCCAGGGCCAGGGCCTGGGATCAGTAATGGGCTTTAGGACAGAGCATCCCTACCCTTTTCCACATCATGGAACTCAGAAAAAATGATACTAGGGCAACGTGGCCGGGAGGGGTGTTTAGCTCCAGATGAGACCCCTTGTGGCCAGAGGAAACTGGCCCAGGTCTCCAGCTGTCCCAAGCACCGCCTGCCAAGCCCGAGGTCACAGCACCTGGGAGGCTCTGACTCAGGAGGCAGTGACTGGTGGTCTAGAGCGGAAGGTGTATGCTGGGAAGTACAAGGTGAACCTGGGAAGGTGAAAACCTTAGGACCACAGCTATGAACCCCGACCTGAGCACTGGCAGCTCACTATCCTCGCCTGCTTGTCCCATCCTCCGTCTCACCTCCTGATCAACCCTGTCTGCCCTGAGTTTATATAAAGCCCTCCTAACTGGGCCTTCCTCTAAGTGCCAGTAGTCTGGCACTCCTCCCCCAGACCTGAGCTCGGCCAGCTCCAGCTGGCTGGTGTCCACGCCGTCCAGCAGCACTCGCCCAGAACTGGGCTCTAGCAGCCGAAAGAGCACCAACAACAGGGAAGACTTGCCAGAGCCCGTGCGGCCCACGATGCCCAGCTTCTCTCCAGGCTGCACGAAGAAGGTCACCCCATCCAGGGCATTGGGCAGCCCTGGCCGGTACACCAACACCACATCCTGGAACTCCACGCTCCCCTGGCTCAGCCAGCCAATGCCCAGCTGGTGGGGTCCGTGGGTGGGAGAGGGAGGGAGGGAGATGGGTGAGACGGGGAGGAATGAGGAGAGTGGAAGGGAGAGGAATGAGGGATGGATGCCGTGAGAGGAGAGGTGGGGGAAACGAGGAGTAATGGGGGGATGGACACAAAAATCAGGGAGATCACAGGGGACGGTACAGGAGCTGAGAAAAATGGTGAGGGGCACAAGGAAAGGAACTGGGGGAGAGACTGGGGCCGTCAGGAGGATCCTTCAGGGTTCTAGCACCCAGGCTGGGGTGAGGGCGCAGGCTACCTGTGGCCGCTGGCCCTGGGGCTCCTGGGGCAGGTCACAGGAGTATTCCTCCAGCCGCTCGACGCTCACCATCATGGCTTCTGTCTGTGTGAAGCTGCTCACCAAGCCGGAGAGCAGGCCCGTCAGGGACAGGGCGTAGGACAGTGACAGGCCCACGAGTCCTGGGGGAAGGGAACACAATTGCCAGGGGAGGCTTGGACGCTGGGATGTGTGTGGGGATGGCTGGGCAGAACGGGCAAACCCTGAGCTGTGGACAGTGGGCATTTAGAGGAAGCTGGCACTGAAGGAGGAAGATGCAGGAGCCAGACCAGGCCCACAGGAGGCTGGCTGCAGCAGAGTGGAAAGGCTACGAGGGAGGACGGGTGGAAGGCAGGTGGGCTAGGGCCGGTTGCTAAGTGCTGAGGACGGGTGAGCAGGGAGGGGCGGAGATCAGAAGACTTGACTAGTCCCAGATCCACGACCACCAGGGTGAGTGACTCCTTGAGACTCAGTTTCCTCAACCCTAAAATGCGGGTGATGAGAATTACAACATATCCTCACAGGGAACCCCGGCCGGGAGGTGAAAATGCTTGGGGCTGTAGGGGCAGTGCAGGGAGAGGTCTGGGGCAGGTGATGGGAATAACACACTTCCGAGGTGAGAGTGAAGGGTCCCGGGGCGGCACCTGGGTTGGCGAGGCCCTGCTGCTGCTGCACCAGGGCGATGCCCGCGATGGCGCTGACCACCGCGGCCCCCATGAACTGTAGCCGAATGTCCAGCCACTGCATCGTGGCGCTGGCAGCAAACTGGCACCTCTGGTTCAGCTCCAGGAGTCTCTGGTTCTCCTCCTCAAACCTGGGGGAAGCCACGCCACAGCTGCACGGACCCGCCCAGACGCCCTGCCCATAGGATGCCTCCTCCTCGGAGCTGACCTGCACGCCCACAGGCCGCACCTCAGCGGTACTGAGGAGCCAACATGCTCTCTCGTAGGGGTCTGCTCAGCGTCACCCTCCCCCTTTTCTGTTTCCTTCCTCTTCCCCCTATGCCCTCACCCACCCTTCCCTTCTCAGGAGACTGAGACCCGCCCCCCCTTCTTCTCAGGAGTCCCTCTTCCCCCTCCCCCCCGCACCTCACCCCCCTCGCACTGGTTGGAGGAGGCGGACCTCACACACCTGTAGGTGGTCCCAGTGGCCCGGAGCACAGGGAGGCCCGCCAACGTGTCGGCCAGGTGGGTGTAGAGAGGAGACAGGGTGAGGCTGCCCAGGCGCCGCAGCTCCCTCGAGGAGGCCCTGTAGTGGCGCTGCACGCGGTAGTGGATGAGGCTCAAAGGCGGCAGCAGCAGCAGCAGCCAGGGCAGGCCAGAGCCCAGCACAGCCAGGAGGCCCAGCAGGCCTGCCGCGTTGGCCAGGAGGATGTTGAGGATGAAGGGCAGGCTGTCATCCGCACAGGCCACGTCGGAGGAAAAGCGGTTGAGGACCCGGCCCGTGGGCGTGGAGTCGAAGAAAGTCACTGGCGCCTGGGAGAAGGGATGTGGGTGGGCCAGGGCAGGGGCCAGCGGAGAAGCCATGGAGGCAGCCCCCGGGGGAGGTGGGCTGGGGGGAAAGGCCCAAGGTAGAGAATAGAAAAGGAGTAAACTGTCCCCAGAGTTTGGGGGCACTGAGGGGGCGCTCGAGGAGCTTAGAGGAAGAATACCCCAGGTGGGAAAGACAGAGTCTCTCCCATCCCTCTGGCTAGCGGGGGCCCTGAGAGGCCAGGTGGGCCACCCCTCAACTTCTGTGCTAGGCATGCCTACCCCCCTTTCAAGGGCAGGTAGCTAATCTCTTTCCAGAAGATGGAGTCTTCGGGCCATGAGTGAGATTTAGTTAGATGTTAGGAGGGACATCCCGATTGCCTGTGGCGGGACAGAGTGGTGAGGGCGGCAGTCAAAGTCCACACTGTCCCATGGTCAAGCGCTCAGGCTCCGGAGTCAGACTGCTTCTTGGATTCCAGCCTTGCCACTTACCAGATGTGAGACCCCACGTAAGAGGGCTTCATCTCCTCAAGGCCCCTGTCCCTCATCTCAAAAAGGGGGATAGTAATGAAACTGTACCTCCCGGGGCTGACAGCAGGATTGAAGCCACAGAC